ATTACAGTCGTTTTCACCAACACATAGGATTACTATATCCTTTGGGTTCAAGTTTAATGTATCAAGTCCCTTCAAAACCTCTTCAGTAGGTGCGTATGTTTTTATGGTTGAAAATATACTATATTTTTCATATGGGCCGTTTTTCCTCAAATCGGTCATTCTTGCCGCCAGACCAGTGCACTGTTGAGTACCAAATATGTGTATTTTGCGAGGTGTAGGTATCTGATTGACTGGGGGCATGACGTTGCAGAGTTCTTTTTTGTTGTTGTGACTAGTCGAAATATTGTTTTCTTGATCAGATTTTTTATCGAGTATTTGTGTTTCTTTTTCAGCGTAGGTTGGCTGAATATTTGCCGGCCTTTGGTTGACGAGATAATCAATTGATCCATGTTCTGGGTGTTTTACTTCGATAGTTCGATTAATACTTGTCCGATCTTTACTTGATGAACGTTTTTTATCCGTAGTTTTACAAATTTCAGTTAGTGTATGTATTTTCAGCTTGTATTCTTCTAATTGGTTTTTTAATGTTCCATTTTCAGACATTCGTTGCTCAATTTCATTCTCAGCTATTTGAAGTTTTATTTCCAAATCTTGATTTTTTTCTTTTAGTGTTTCTAAGTCATTTATATCTAGTCCCAGATCAGGGCAACTTCGACTTAGATGACTGCAGCTATTTAATGTTGATTCATTAAAGAAATTTTCTTCATCGCTTAACGACTGAAAAGAGTTTTCAGTTGAGATATTGTATGAAAGTTTGGGGTTTTGTGATGCATTCTTATTTTCTGTCGATTTTTCTGCTTGCTTTTGTGTTCGTCCTTGTGCCAGTTTTGGAGTACTTCGCTTTGAGATCAAGATGGCTTTCGATGTCTTTTCTGTACATATTTGACATTTCCAGTTTGTTCTTCTTTGCGGCGACATTAGATAGAATACATTTTCATTAACATTTGCACATTTAATGTGATATGTGTTCTTACAGCTGGAGCAAGTTAAATTGCGTCTGTGAGTAATTACTTTTTTACATTCTTTGCATTTCTGAGTCATTTTGTTTTTGTCAATATAATAAAATAAAAATAATAACAAAGAAAATATATACCAAAACAGAATCCCAAACAAAAAACAAAAATATTTTTTTTTGTCTCAGCCGAGGTTCGAACGCTCAATCCTTGGAATCCGTTCTTGGTGAACGCGTTTTGTACAATTCGGCTATCAGTTCTTACAGTCAGTGTGTCGAAATTATGGGTCAGGTTGCTGCGTAATAGTGCTCTAGTTCTTGCGCGTAGTAATGTAAATTCGTTGTTTTTGTCTTCCACCGTCACAAAACGTACAAGTTAAAAGTCTCACTTGAGTTTTTGTAAAACGTTTTTAGAGATTACGTTCACAATATCACACGTATAGTCGTTGTTTTTCACAGTTCGGCTTGGTTTTAAGTACTGCACACACTAATGTAACTTTTATTGACATTGTTTCACTTTATCCTATATTACTGGATTAATTTACACGGAGCGTTTGAAAACACGTCTGCGCGGTTGTGGAGTACCCGCGATTTTTTAAATGAGATTTTTTAAATTTATGAAAATTTGTGAGACTTGTCAAATTGACTTGAAGTTTAAAATTATGTGTTATCTCCATGTTGTCTCTGACACATCAGTGTTGTAATCTGTAAGTCATAGAAAATAATCGGTGAATTAAATCGATTTTATTTCAATTATTCAATCATTTTTATTACTGATTGCATTTAAATAGATTTAAATAGGGTCTTAATCAACAATGTATTTTTTCTTCATTGAATGTACTACTAATTGTTTAATGCACTGCTTTATAAAGCATTATAAATTATTTCTACAGGTACGTAAGTACTACAATAATTTCAATCCGCGATTAACGAGAGGTTTTGTCGCCTCACTAGGACACAGATTAAAAATGTTTTTATGTCAGTTGGCCATATTTGTTTACATACAGGGTGACTTTTGTATCAGTATCCAAATTTTTTCCTGACATTAGGTATCGTTTATAGATGACATTTTTAATAAAAAATAGGTAGGTCAAATTTTAACATCAACTATTTTTTCCTAACCAACCAGTGTGGTTACCGCGCTTAGCGCGTAAACATTTTGCGGGAGAGCTGGTCGAGCGGAGAGCTGGCAACGTGTGGCAACGCTCGACCGGCCGGCCTGGCCGCGCGGCGCTTCAATCAGTCGCCCGCGCAACCCATTACGAGACGCGCGTATCGCTGCGCGCGCCGATCGTTCCGTCGTGCGGTCAACGTAACGATGTATTCGCAGCGCGAGTGTTATGAAATGATTCGGTGCTACATTTTAAGTGGAGAGAGTTTGAACCGGGCCCAGAGGAATACCTCGACTTCGTAACCAAGGACTAAACCCAACAGTGCCAAACCGGTGAACGATTTTAGCGGCAAACTGAAGCGAGATCCGCGAGCAAGTAGGTAAGTACCTACACGAGACGCGAAGTGCGAAATGACACTGTAGTTTTAAATAAACTCAAAGACAATGTACAAAAGCGTGCAAGTCTGTCTGGAGAAAAATGGTATGCACTTTGGGCAATTATTAAAATAACTACTCATAATTTGTTAGTTTGTTGTTAGGTTAGGTAGGTTTGGTAAGCAATCTCAATTATTGCACATGAAAATAACGATAAATACCCCCGAATAGGTACACAAGAAAAGTAGTGTTACCGCTCTCGGTGATTTTATTTTCTTTTTGATAGCGTAATTATTGTCGTAGGTATTTAATTTTTCTACCATAAATTAGTAAGTCTGTTTAATTAAAACTAATTACCACTTTGAAATCTTTTGCATTTTGACGGTCCTAAGCCCGTGAAAGTATGAAGGGAAAATCGACAACTTATAAATCGTATCGCAATGAATGAAATGCGGCGCGGGCAGGCGCGTACGTGTGTGCGTGCGTAAGCGAGTGAGCCGTGACCACGGTGTAAGTGTTTTTTCAGACTGTTTCTGGGTGCTTTATTTTGACATTTTTGTACTGGACGATACAAAAATAAAAAATACGTGTTTTGTCTTTCGCTTCATAGATTATTATATTAAAATTTGGATACTGATACAAAAGTCACCCTGTATAGGGAAATTTCTAAAGAATCCGACTTTAAATGTTTACATTCGTTAATTTTTTTCTTTCTTTCCAGGGCACAGCGGCAAATGGCCCGGCGACATCCAAGCCTTCCGCTGTCTAAAAGCGGCTTTCAACCTGCAAATCGCTGATCGCTTGAACAAGCAGTATTCCCTCCCCACCCAAGCCTATCCTACCCACGTCGACGTATTGAAAAATGGACTGGTGTTCAGACTGGAGATAGCGCATCCGAAAGAGATAACGCTATTGAGGAAAGAGACGGAGAACGGTGTTGCCAAGTTTCGGGAGAGTGAGGAGAGCGTTCGTTTGCAGTGTGAGACCGTGCTTATGCCTCGTTTGAGAGGAGCCTTGCATGGGTAAGTGGTATTTTTACACAGGTTTTGAAAATTAGGGGAAGTCTTGATAAACCGAATACGATGACTATTATTGATTGCAGAACAAAAATATGAAAAAAATACCTACTCAATCTTTTTGACTTTTCAATGACAAAATATAGTAAGAATTACTAGATCCAGTCTATGTGACATAAATATTTTGTACGTATTAGCTAAATATTTGATGACGTCACATTGTCTCACATTCCAGTGCTACATCATCTTAGGGCTGAGTGTGAGTTTACATCAAAGAGCACGTAAAAGAATGACATTAAATGTATGACGGATTGTGCAGCGCCCCTAGCGGAAACATTCAAGAACTAAGATTTTCATACATTTTTTAAACGCGCACACTAGTGAGCGTTGATGTAAACTCACACTAGGCCCTCTGATCTATTTGTTCCCTTTATGTCTACGTCACATGCACAAAACACTGCTTGATAAAATGATAGCTACATATCATCTTCCGAATGGTAAACTAAAACAAAATAAGAGAGAGTGGGAAAAAACGGAAGAAAATGATTTTTTTATACTTTAACTAGCTGTGCCCGCGACCTCGTACGCGTGAAAACCCGTTTTCGCAACATTTTTCATTGTTGCTCTCTCCTATTGATTGTAGCGTGATGTTGTATAGCCTATAGCCTTTCTCGATGAATGAGCTATCTAACAATGAAAGAATTTTTCAAATTGGACCAGTAGTTCCGGAGATTAGCGCGTTCAAGTAAACAAACAAACTCTTCAGCTTTATAATATTAGTATATGTAGATATTAAACTCACGATCTTTATCTTTCTACAGCCTACACCAAAAGCACCCAGCCTTCGGTCCCAGCACATGCATCTTCAAGCGCTGGCTGTGCTGCCACCTGCTCTCCCCTCCACACTTCCCCCCCACTCTAGCCGAGTTACTGGTAGCAGCTGTGTTCCTCCACGCCCACCCGCTGACCCCGCCCACTATGCCCACTGTTGGGCTATTGAGGGTGTTGCGATTGGTGGCCGAAACGGACTGGACGAGGGAAATGATTGTTTTGGACTTCAATGAGGATATGAAACGTGAGTCAAACTTTTTTTTAATGTTTATGAAAATGCTTATTTGTTTGATTAGTGTCCGTTTTCACCATCAATCCCTAATTTTTAAGTGAACCCTATGGGTCACGTAACATAATTTTGTTTTCATTGGGGTCACTTAAAATTAGGGATTGAAGTGAAAATTTACATAGGTCAACTATAAATAAGGTAAAGGATACGCGTTAAGTAGCGACTTTATCGTTGCTTTTGGAAACGTAAAGGTAGAATATTTGCGACTGTATCGATATTTTTTCGAGACTGACTCGCGTCACGATACGAAATCTCTGCAAAAAGTTGCAATATATAAAGAACCTGAGTAGTTTTACTTTTGACCTCTACTTCCTATGGTGGCGCCTCTGTCTTTTCTCTCTGCGTTCGAATCTCAAACCGTATAAACTGTACCTGTGATTTCCCAATAAAACTAAGTTGTTTCAAGTACAATACATACTTTATTTGCTCAAAACCCTACACTACACTCTCAGGACCTGTTGGTATCACAAAATATATCCTTTTGAACGTAAAAATTTATTACTGCTTCCTCTTCTACAGGCCCTGAAGCTCAATAACTGAACTTAATTGTTTAATTTATTCAATACCATTGCAGGTGAAGAAATAATGGAGCTGGAAAGCAAATTCGCCGCCCGCGAACCAGCAACTCCTCAGATCCACATAGTAACAGCCTACGACGGAGACTTGCCTAGCGTGTGGAGCGCAAGCGCGCCGAGTCCGCAAGTACTGGCGCGAGTCCGTACCCTCGCCGCCAGTACTCTGAAGTACTTCGATGCTGCCATGCTGAGCGAGATGAAAGATAACGCACTGGTAAGTAACTGATAAAGGTTCTGATCCACATAGTAACAGCGTATGACGGAGACTTGCCTAGCGTGTGGAGCGCAAGCGCGCCGAGTCCGCAAGTACTGGCGCGAGTCCGCACGCTCGCCGTCAGTACTCTGAAGTACTTCGATGCTGCCATGCTGAGCGAGATGAAGGGCAACGCACTGGTAAGTAACTGAAGACTGATAAAGGTTCTGATCCACATAGTAACAGCTTTCAATGGAGACTTGCCTAGCGTGTGGAGCGCAAGCGCGCCGAGTCCGCAAGTACTGGCGCGAGTCCGCACGCTCGCCGTCAGTACTCTGAAGTACTTTGATGCTGCCATGCTGAGCGAGATGAAGGATAACGCACTGGTAAGTAACTGAAGACTGATAAAGGTTCTGAACCACATAGTAACAGCGTACGACGAAGACTTGCCTAGCGTGTGGAGATCAAGCGTGCCGAGTCCGCAAGTACTGGCGCGAGTCCGCAAGTACTGGCGCGAGTCCGCAAGTACTGGCGCGAGTCCGTACGCTCGCCGTCAGTACTCTGAAGTACTTTGATGCTGCCATGCTGAGCGAGATGAAGGACAACGCACTGGTAAGTAACTGAAGACTGATAAAGGTTCAGATCCACATAGTAACAGCTTTCAATGGAGACTTACCTAGCGTGTGGAGCGAAGCGCGCCGAGTCCGCAAGTACTGGCGCGAGTCCGCAAGTACTGGCGCGAGTCCGCAAGTACTGGCGCGAGTCCGCGAGTCCGCGAGTCCGCAAGTACTTACGCGAATCCGCAAGTACTGGCGCGAGTCCGCGAGTCCGCAAGTACTGGCGCGAGTCCGCAAGTACTGGCGCGAGTCCGCAAGTACTGGCGCGAGTCCGCAAGTACTGGCGCGAGTCCGCAAGTACTGGCGCGAGTCCGCAAGTACTGGCGCGAGTCCGCACGCTCGCCGCTAGTACTCTGAAGTACTTCGATGCTGCCATGCTGAGCGAGATGAAGGATAACGCACTGGTAAGTAACTGATAGAGGTTCAGATCCACATAGTAACAGCTTTCAATGGAGACTTGCCTAGCGTGTGGAGCGCAAGCGCGCCGAGTCCGCAAGTAATGGCGCGTGTCCGCAAGTAATGGCGTGAGTCCGCAAGTAATGGCGNGGAGGCTTAGCTCGCGTGTGGAGCGCAAGCGCGCCGAGTCCGCAAGTAATGGCGCGTGTCCGCAAGTAGTGGCGTGAGTCCGCAAGTAATGGCGCGTGTCCGCAAGTAATGGCGCGTGTCCGCAAGTAATGGCGCGAGTCCGCAAGTACTGGCGCTAGTCCGCAAGTAATGGCGTGAGTCCGCAAGTACTGGCGCGAGTCCGCACGCTCGCCGTCAGTACTCTGAAGTACTTTGATGCTGCCATGCTGAGCGAGATGAAGGACAACGCACTGGTAAGTAACTGATAAAGGTTCTGATCCACATAGTAACAGCTTTCAATGGAGACTTGCCTAGCGTGTGGAGCGCAAGCGCGCCGAGTCCGCAAGTACTGGCGCGAGTCCGCACGCTCGCCGTCAGTACTCTGAAGTACTTTGATGCTGCCATGCTGAGCGAGATGAAGGACAACGCACTGGTAAGTAACTGATAAAGGTTCTGATCCACATAGTAACAGCTTTCAATGGAGACTTGCCTAGCGTGTGGAGCGCAAGCGCGCCGAGTCCGCAAGTACTGGCGCGAGTCCGCACGCTCGCCGTCAGTACTCTGAAGTACTTCGATGCTGCCATGCTGAGCGAGATGAAGGATAACGCACTGGTAAGTAACTGAAGACTGATAAAGGTTCTGATCCACATAGTAACAGCGTACGACGGAGACTTGCCTAGCGTGTGGAGATCAAGCGCGCCGAGTTCGCAAGTACTGGCGCGAGTACTCTGAAGTACTTTGATGCTGCCATGCTGAGCGAGATGAAGGATATTGTACTGGTAAGGAGTTTTGATAGTTTATTAAGGTTCTGGTGTAGTAATATAGGAAATAAAAGTGGTTTGGCCGAAAAAAGATGGTTCTGTCAGATTTTTGTAAGGAACCAAAAGGTTATTTGTATGGAACCTTCTTCATACTAATTGATATTGGTACCACAAATCGAGCCCACTTTCTCAAGGCCCTAATTTGTAAAGAAGCATACTAATTTGTGTGTGTTTCCTATCTGGGAATGGGATGAGAATATTTCCTATCTCCAATTCGAGTGACGTACTAGGTGGACCGACGATCTGGTAAAGGTCGCGGGAAGAGCCTGGATGCTGGCAGCGCAGGATTGTGCATTGTGGAAAACCTTGGAGAAGGCTTTTGTCCAGCAGTGGACGTCATTTGGCTGAAACGAACGAACGAACTAACTAGTTTTTATGACCTGTCACAAAAAGCCGATACTATTTTATCAACTCAATGCTATTAATTTCGAACTAAAGTTCCTTTGGTAAATGGTGTCAAATAAATCAATTAACACAATAATTTTCCACAGAGTGCCTTCGTGCCATCCCTAGCGGGCTATGACGTCATCATCCACCTCCGTTCAGAGTTGGTCCCATACGCCAGCGAGCGCGTAGAACGGCCCGCGTTACTACGCCCGGTCGGTGACGTCACTGACTCCGAAGTCATACCCGTGGTCGAGTTCAACCCGGTGGAGAAATACTTGGGGGAGTTGAGGGTGAGTTTTATTAAATACTGAATACCAGTATCGTGCCTGCCGCCTGGGCCCTGTATCAATATTATAGAACCTTCCCCTAGGACAGATACCTGTACTCTGTTTATTCGAAAAAGTCTGGACCCTAGGCTATGTTTTGCGCAGGCCTCGTATCTTTGATACAGCAGATACGTACGGCTGTAGCTACGCCCCTGCAAAGTACAGAAAGGAACACAACACTCGATTCTATTCATGATTTGACTGATCGAATTTCAATATTAGATGAATCATTGAGATTGAACTGAGTTGTGAGCGTTGTTTTGTGACATGGACTTAGGTCACTTCAGTCAGGGGTTCCATCTCGGAATGAAAAAAAAAAAACTTATGTAAACCGTCTGTCGTCGTCCGTTGGAAAGTTAAAAATTGTAAAGGGTTGTCCAAACCATAGACAAACTATTTTGTCTCGTCTCTGGTCATTAACATTTTACATGATGCACCAGCTTTTTACTAATCAATATACGGGATTCTAAAGATTAAGGTATTCTCAGTCATGCAAAAGATAACAGCATTGTTGTGTTCCGGCAGTTAGAGGTAAGATAGCCAGTTCCTCCGTGGTTGAGGATTCCGGGTGAAGCTCGCTTCCACCTTCGGCCTGATCGTCCCTTACCATTGGGTGAGATACAGGCCAAAAGCTCCCTCGTTGTGAAAAAAATAATATTAAAGAAACGTTGTCTTTTTCAGAGCGCGTACGGAGACTTCGCGTTGTTCTTCCACGACTCGTACGGCGGAGAAGTCATCGCGGTTCTATGGAAGCCCGACATTGCTGACGCCAGAGAGTTCCAAGTAAGTCTCACTATAAGTTTTTTGCAGCTATTTGTTGTGTCAACAGCTAACTTTATTTTATTGCTTATGATTCACTGTCTCTCTTACGAACAAGTCGCTCTGCGTGAAAGGGATAAAATTTTTACAATTTAAAATTGTGCTGTTCTATTGTTTCTAATGTTGTCTAGTGCTATCACTGCTATAAAAAATGTATGAAACATGCCACTATTGAAGTTAGCAAACGTATCTTCTCCGAAAACAGCCGAAAGTTTTTGGCAGTTGCCACATAGCGACCGCCATTTTACTTAAAAATTATATTTTCCGCCAAACTATGAAATTGACATGACGTCATTATTATTTTGCGTATGCATATTTTTTTGGCCGGATTTTTAATTTTTTTGATGCAACAAGATTTTTTTGACCTTACCAAGTTTTGTGGTTAGTAATTTCACTATTTATGTTTTGGTAGATAGCTGAAACTGTGGTGGTATTTACTAGAATTGGGAGTAGTAACAGGCGATCAAAGTAGTTACAATAGATTAGAACAAACAGAAGTAGTTAGTATGTAGTATACAATACAACCCGGTTGAGTTAACTGCGCATCTGGCGGCTGTGACGTCACGTCGACGCTCTGGGCGAACGCGGCGAGTTGTACGGGTGAGAGGAAGGGAGAGTCGCATTTCATCGAGGTGCGCAGTTTCCAGAACCTTCCTGCCCCATCGGCCGTCAGTTCTGCGTACTATGTGCCCTGCCCACTGCCACTTCAGCTTGCTAATCCGTCGGGCTATGTCAGCGACTTGAGTTCGTTTACGGATCTCCTCATTTCTGATTCGATCTCGTAAAGAAACACCAAGCATAAAGCCTGGTGAGCGTGAGCACGTAGAATTTTGTCCAATGACCCCAAGCTACCCATCCTTATCGCTCGCGCGTAATTATACAGGGTGGAAACGATAAGTGATCTCATTCGATTATTTCTAAACTGTACAAGATATCGAAAAACTGGTTACTGATCCTGAAAGTGCTTCACGAGCTCTATCCAACGGTACCAATAATAAGTTACAGAATTAACTGGATCTATCAGAAAATTTATTGTTTTCAGCTTCCATACATTTAGTAAAACCTCATAATATTAAAAACTATACAAGATATTCAAAAACTGGCTACTGATCCTGAAAGTGCTTCCCGAGCTCTTTCCAACGATACCAATAATAGGTTACAAAATTAACTGTGTCCATCCTAAAATTCAATGTTTCCAGCTTCCATACATTTAGTACAGCCACAGTCATGGCACTCATGTCTTGATAATATTATAGCAAGTGAAGCCTAAAACCAATGTTTTCCATGCATAATTTTAAATAAGAATGCAATTTACGAGTTCATTTTAAGTGTTTATTGTTTAATAAAAAAAATTAATACTTCTAATTTTGTTTGACTGGCATACATTTAGTATGGAGGCTGAAAACATTTAATTTTCGGATATATCCAGTTTATTATGTAACCTATTATTGGTACCGTTTGAAAGAGCTTGTGAAGCACTTTCAGAATCAGTTATCAGTTTTTCGATATCTTGTATAGTTTAGAAATAATCGAGTGAGATCACTTAACGTTTCCACCCTGTATTGCTGTCGCGACTGTGCGACGGGCACCCGCAGTGAGTGTGCGAGCGCTCACGGACCAGGCTTTAGTCATGATGATGATGATGTGCAGTTAGCTCGAACGGTTATAAGTAGACAATAAGGTTTAAAAAGCTTTATTTTATCATTATTTTATTTTGTTTTAGCTCCTGAACGCCAACGCGCTGAAACCAGTCACTTCCAAAGGAGGAACGACGTACAAAGTGAATGTGGAGGCGTTGGTTGAAGACTTCAGGATACTAGGAGAGGGATTAGTTAAGGATATTGTTGTTAACTAGTAATGTTACATTGTAAATGTAATGGTTATTGTATTATAAATATAGTTTATAATAATTATGTTTTGTATTTTATTTTTATTAAGTTTTAAACTCTTTTTCGCGCGACAGTCTGCCTAAGTTAATAATTTTCGTGATTCTTGTCAGATCGGAGATAAGGAGAAAAACCCTCCATAGCAAGTATTAAGGGTTTAAGAATATCATTTTAATTCACTGGACAAATAACGCTCTTAATTCACTACAATTTATTATATGCTCCGTCGCTCCCTTCTCTAGCACTGGCGTAGGATTAGAATAGGATTGTCTTCGCAAAAACCGCGCATAGACGAGAATAACTACATCTTATAACAAGAAATACTTGCGCATAAGTCCCAACCGCGTCCACGTCACGAACGAAGTGCAGTAGCTACAATTAGTCGGGGTATCCCTAGCGCTCGACCTCTACTCTTGTGTGTTGTGAATCTACATAGCAAAAAAATAACGCTCATCTAAATTCGCTACAATTTATTACAATTTACAAACCGTTACTAGTAACGGCGCTACTAAGATAGATCCACAAAAAACCGCTCATTAGAAGAAATTAGCTAGTGATTGAAACATCTTTATCTTTCTCACCTAACAGTGGCCTTGAAGTTGGGTAGTTCTTGCAACTTAGCAGGGTAGCGCTTGACCTTGACTCTTATCTAATAGTAAAAAAAATCGCTCTTATTTCACTACAATTTATTACAAGCAATACTGTTTTAAATAATGGTACATAACATTCCTCATTACGCCTTAATAAAGTAGGGTAGGTCGTGCAGCTTGGCGGGGTAGCGGCGCAGCCAGTCGCCGCCCGCGTGGCGCCGGCCGGGCTCGCCCTGTGCCAGCCAAGTGCCGGCCGGCAGGTAGATGTCGCGCTCTGTGGCTCCCTTCTCTAGCACTGGCGTAGGATTAGAATAGCATTGTCTTCGCAAAGACGAGAATAACTACAGCTTATAACAAGAAATACTGGCACATAAGTCCTTAACGCGTCCACGTCACGAACGAAGTACAGTAGCTATAATTTGGCGGGGTAGCGCTAGCGACCTCGACTCTTGTGTGTTGTGTATCTACTTAGCAAAAAAAAACGCTCATCTAAATTCGCTACAATTTATTACAATTTACAAACCGTTACTAGTAACGGCGCTACTAAGATAGATCCACAAAAAACCGCTCATTAGAAGAAATTAGCTAGTGATTGAAACATCTTTATCTTTCTCACCTAACAGTGGCCTTGAAGTTGGGTAGTTCTTGCAACTTAGCAGGGTAGCGCTTGACCTTGACTCTTATCTAATAGTAAAAAAAATCGCTCTTATTTCACTACAATTTATTACAAGCAATACTGTTTTAAATAAGGGTACATTACATTCCTCATTACTCCTTAATAAAGTAGGGTAGGTCGTGCAGCTTTGCGGGGTAGCGGCGCAGCCAGTCGCCGCCCGCGTGGCGCCGGCCGGGGTCGCCCTGCGCCAGCCAAGTGCCGGCCGGCAGGTAAATGTCGCGCTCCGTCGCTCCCTTCTCTAGCACTGGCGCTACTAGGATCGTCTCGCCGAGCATGTATTCTGAAAAAGTCCGGAATCAAAGTGAAAATATAATCCTCCATTTGTCTCTGGTAGATAAGAGAGGGTTTTGCTACCTCAATGATTAATAAATAACCTGATGATGACGATTATTTTGAAAACTAGCGGCCGCCCGCGACTTCGTACGCGTAGATCCCGTTTTACCCCCTTCATCTATCTTACGCGGTTTAGATTTTTTCATAAAAATGTTTTTTCCCGCTAACTCCCGTTCCCGTGGGAATTTTGCAATATCCTGTTGTAACTAAGCTTTAAATTTACTAAGATACCTGCATGCCAAATTTCAAGCGTCTAACTTAAGCGGTTTAGATTTTTCATACAAAAGGATTTTCCCGCTAATTCCCGTTACTTTGGGAATTTTAGAATATCCTATTGTAACTAAGCTTTAGGTTTACTAAGGTACCTGCATGCCAAATTTAAAGTGTCTAACTTAAGCGGTTTAGATTTTTCATACAAAAGGATTTTCCCGCTAATTGCCGTTCCCGTGGGAATTTCTAAGTATCCTATAACCTGCCCAGGAGTACGAAGAATAATTGTACCAAATTTTGTTAAAATCCGTCGAGTAGTTTTTGTTTCTATAAGGAACATACAGACGGACAGACAGACAGACAGACAGACAGACAAAAATTTTACTGATTGCATTTTTGGCATCAGTATCGATCACTAATCACCCCCTGATTGTTATTTTGAAAATATATTTCATGTACAGAATTGACCTCTCTACAGATTTATTATAAGTATAGAAGATACGATATAGAACTGATCTGATTATGACAGACTCCTTTAAAATAAGATAGATACCGCAAAGTTGACAGGATTTTGGCCATAGGACAGTTCGGCACACGGTACATAAATGAAGCATGCTTGCTTCGTAGATCATCATGCAAATTGCAAAGGATTGGAACTCTTCAAGGTTTAATTGCTTTTGACTGCCAACCTCAAGAATATTGCTAGTGGTTGGTTAATGAAAGCGGTCATCGTGCTTAGTGGCTTCCATCTAGCAGTGAACTGTCATAGTCTGTATTGGTGTTGATGATCATGCTGTCAATGAAGGCTATCAAGCCTCAGTGGTCTAGTGGTTTCATTTCTAGATTATCACCTGTATTTCCAGCTTTTTATCAATGACAGTCAATAAGTTTGGTGTACTTACGGTCCCAAATATCATAAGCCTCGCTGTCGTCTGGCGCGATCCACCATACGGGCGGGTTGACGGGCGCGCCCGTGGCCACTGCGTTTGCGCACGCCGCTATGATCTGAGGCGCGTACTGCGCGTGCAGGTCTACGTATTTCTTGCTTAACGCGATCGTCTGGGGAAGAACATCACAACAACAAATGCATTGGATTGGAAAACCCTCGGACGTTTCATTGGATGATGTAGATCTTTTCTAATCAGAAAGAAATTAATCATGCTAGGAATTGTTGGCTCTCGAATTGACAGTTCAATGCCGCCACGCTATCATTGGCCATTCGTTAGTAACCTCAAGATCGGAAACTTATGATACAGAAATATTTTGAGCAAGAAATAATTCCATGACAGCCACGGCCTGATAAAGTTTGCTGCTCGTTTGCAAGATCTCTTATTCTCCATCTAATAGTAGCAGTTCTTTCTCTAGAATTGTATTGACTATTGTGGTGAGCCCACTCGTAACACAAGCTCATTTAGCTTAACACGAGGGGCTAAAGGGACTATTAGTAATTTGTGCAATACAAATTGCTAATAATCTAAAAAAAATGTGTTCTTTTAATTTTGTCACATTAGTATCAAAAGTCCACTTACTTCATTGTCAAAGTCCCAAGGCACATACGAGAACTGCAAGCTAGGCATGAACGTGTTTGCCTGCAGCCACCGTATGAACAGCTCCTTGCTGGGTGGCTCGTTGTACCCGTTGCCTCCGATCATGTCCGGCAGCACCAGCGGGTAGCCGTTCATGTTCATCTGCAGGAGCGTGGTCACGAGGGTCGGGAGCCCGTTCTCGAAGGTCCAGTACGTGTCCTTGTCGATCATGCGCACGAATATTGGCAGGTTTTGGGTTCTGGAAGACAAAATACGTAAGAATCGTTGCACAAAATACTGTTAGACAACAACTATAGCTGAATAGCGGAACAGAATCTCAATTCTGAATGGATCAACTTTCTCTCAAATCAAAATTGGAGTCATGAAGAAAAGTGCAATTTTGCATTGGTAACTCTTCTAACACCTCCCGCGATCTTCACCAGATCGTCGGTCCACCTAATGGGAGGCCTGCCCGCACTACGTCTTCCGGCTCGTGGTCGCCACTCGAGAACTGAATGCGAGCGGCGCAGGACCGATCTTTGTGGAAAACCTTGGGGGAAGCCTTTGTCCAGCAGTGGACGTCTTTCGGCTGAAACGAACAAACTCTTCTAGCATCGCAGATGTCAATAGGCAGTGATGAATGTGATGATCGTTTATCAGGTAACTCATATTTCCGGATGTCCCTTCGTTACTCATGTCTTACCGGTATCCAGATCTGACTTCCACCATCGGACCAAAGGTTGAGACTGCTCTCACGTAGTCGGCAGTTATAACTCCTGGCTGATCTCTGATGTCCCCTTTCAGGACTGGTATCTGAGAAAAAAAGTAATTAACGATAAAAAATGTGGTAGGTTGTTAAAAAAATCTAGGAGAAGCGAGATCTAATCGAAGAGTTTTCCCGTTTTGGTTAAAAAAATATTGATAAAGGGAATGTACCTGAGGTGTCCAGCTCGACTCTCCGGCGTCGAACTTGAAGCTGTCAAGCCCCGTGGATTCCTTGAGGGACTTCAGTCGTTCCAAGAACCACTCCCTCACTTCCGGCTTGGTGAAGTCAATGTAGGCCGTCGTCGTCTCGTTGTCGTTCCACCAGCTCGTCTCCACTGACCCGTATTCAGAGGATACCAAGTAGCTGAAAAATAAGTCTATCTTATTCTCCTTTTTAGGTAAGGGATCTTCTAAATCTGCTTACCAGATGAAATGTATGTAAAATATAATTAGTTAAATGTAACTATTAAATTTCCTTACCCTTTTTCTTTAGCATCAGAATACCAAGGTTCACAGCCTTTGTTTATGAAAGGATGTGACCAAATAGTCACTCTAAAGCCTTTCTCTTTCAACTGGTCCACCGTGCCTTTCATATTAGGGAACCGCTCTTTATCGATCGTCTGAGAACCGTAGCATGTCTCCCACAGATCGTCGATCTCCAGCTGGCTGTTAGGAAAATCGTATTTCAAGATCTCGTCTGCGAACTTCAACACGACGTCGTGGTTAACATCCCGCTTGTACCTCGCCCAAGTAGACCAGATCGGGTACGTTATCATTTTTTCATCAGGAATTCCTGTGGGTTTCTCCAGGTATCTTTCTACGGCATATTCATGAGCCTTTCGTACATCTTCGAATATTCCAATTGCGTAAATCAGGTCATTGCGATCTCTCTTGCTCGAATAAGGTGGTTTGATTTGGGCTTTGAAGCAAGCAGCGTTTTTGTCCTGGTTGTTCTGGTCGACGAAGAGAGGGACTTTCTTGTCGAAGTAGAAGAAGAGACCAGCGGAGCTGAGCCAGTAGGGTTCCGCTACACCACAGTTATCTGCTTCTTTCGTGACGTAGGAATAGTCGGGAAGAATCAGACGCTCGATTGGCCAATACTGGCGTTTTTGTTGGGGACCACCGTACCATTTGTTGGAACCTGGAAGAGGATATTGTTACTTGTGAATGTTGCTATATAACTTTATCTGAGCATGATCCACATGAACCGCCATTGACAATTTTTTCTGTCCACAAAGTAGACTCCAAAGATACAACGATATGGAAGTTTCTGGAATATGGTGTTCTGTATCTCTTACCCAAATTAACGCAGTCCTCAAGCTTAACGGTCTTCGGCGCTTCCCAAGTCACGGTGATGACCTGTCCCTTCCTCTCGCCCGCGATATCCTCGTTGCTGATCCGCACGGTGGTATCGTTGGCGAACTGGATGACGATGTCTCCGTCCTGCACCACGTCTTTGATGGTGCCAGCGTGCCGGCCGATCACGGTGATCACCTCAGATATGCCCTCTGGTGGAAAAGAGGAGAACTTGGGTTAAGGTTGGCTTATTAAAGCTTCGGGACTATTCCCACCTCTCGTCCCACCACTGCAACTCCTGTGTAGCCAGGATATACAGCTTGACCGCCATAAAAACCCAACCAATGAAGGTCAAGTTTGTCCCGGGGGAAAGTTAAACTGTCATTGGACCCGCAACGAAATTAATCAGAAGAACATAATAGGAGGAGTTCGAAATTGTTATTACAGAGACAGCAGTCGCATTCAAAGTAGATCTTAGTGAAGGTAAGGGAGCAGGAAGGCGCTGAATGCAAGCCGCTGTCGTCAACCGGTCTATCTGGAAATCATTGGGGAGGCATAGCCCTCCTTTCTATCATAGGTGCTGTATGTTCAGCAGTGGACGTCCTATGGTTTAAATGATGATGATGATGATCTTACTGCGTTCCAACACGACGTTGAGTCCCCCATACGGGTTGTCCTGAAGTCGGGCCTTGACTCCCGGCGAGTCTAGCACGGTGACGTCGACGGCGAGCGCGTGCGCCGCTAAAGCGACTACCACTACCACTGAAAATGTAAATCAAAATTAAAGTATTTGGGCAAAAAGCACAGATACAGAACTTGTGCAAGAATCATATTGTACAGTCAACATTTATCGGACTTAATTTTATTTCGCAAAGTAGTTCCATATCAACACATATAACACCTTACTTATACTGTGACATAACGAAAAATGTAAGGATGTGCTTTATGTGATGTGGGTGTCGCAAGCCAGTCCGGAAAAATGCTTGTGAAACTCTACATGGTACTCTAAAAATCTAAGGACAAGTTAAGTTTCGTAATTAAAATATTCCTTCTTTAAATTTTTCTTTCCTTCACCCATGCAATTAACCTGCCCATCTAGTTGTTTACTGCTACAAATTCCCAGAATTGTATCTACCTATAATGATTGATATAGATATTTCTGAAATGCATCAGCTACTCTGTAATTATAATAATAACCGTTTCAGGCCGGTCTATTATTCTGCGCGGTAGTTTTTCTGAAGCAATCAGGTTTAGTTGTCGCACGAACGCATTAACTCTTTGTGCCTTAGACATTTGTTTGTGCTGTAATTAATACCAATTTGCATGATAGGAAAAGTTATGCGAACTACTATGATAGATGACTGAAGCAGTTAAAATTAGACCGCTTTTTCAAGTTTCTAAGGCCGAGTTGCACCTTCTTACTTAACTTTAATAAACGTCAAACAACTATACAAAAATACCTGGTTATAGTTATGGTTAAAGTTAAGTGGAGCAACTGCGCCTAAGAGATTTTATTGTTTTTATTGTATTTTTTTAAAAATTGCAATGCAAAATACACTGTTAATAAATATGGTGTCAAAAACGTACCTTGAGCAATACACTTGGTTTCCGGAATTATGTTACCCCAGCGAATATCGTAAATAATCTTACCTAAATTTTCCCAACAATCTACACTCGCGAGCAAAAGTATGGAATCACTTACATGAAGTTGTTTCCACGCGATCTTGTGTACTAACGAATTTGTTAGTAACAAAAAAAGTAGCACCATTTTAAAGATTAAACTTTTAACTTTAAATTGATACCAAATTCATTTTAATCACACCGGTATTTAAAAAGATATACCGGCTGATGTGAAGAAGTAAGAAAAAAGGCATGTACCAACTGTTTGATACGTCGCGAGTTGCGGCCTATTTACCCCCTATAAAAGCACGTGTTTTCGGATTTTTGCGTTCACACGTTGATCCATACACATCTCGGCTTCTTTTGACACTTTACCTGGGATTCTACACCTACAGAAGCAGCACAAATCGTTGCACTGTTGCAAGAAGGGCTCAGCCAGCGGGCTGTCGCACGTCAGCTCCACATAAACCAGTCCTGGGTTTCGAAAGTTTTAAGACGCTTTTGGGAGACTGGTGGCTCTATCCCGAGACCAAGTTCTGAACAGCGCCGGTGCACATCGCAGAGGGATGACCGTTTTTTCATGTCAAACTCTCTATGAAATCGTCATTTGACTGGCATCGACGTCCAGCAAGAGCTCAGAAATGTTCGTAGGATAGCTGTTAGCGAGTGGACAGTTCGTCTAAGATATGAGCAATAAAATTTGACTCCAAAAAGGCCTGCCACAGGCTGGAAACTGACGGCAGGTCACCGACAAGCACGCTTTCAATCAGCTCGCACTCGGAAGGCGAGTAATGGAGGCGAGTTTTGTTTTCCTATGAATGCAGACTGTTTTTGCAGTGCAGCAGTCGAAGAGGTCGGGTCTATAGACGGCCTGGGGAGCGATTTGTGCAGTGCTGGTTCGCTAAAACATTGGCTTATGGGGGTGGCTTGCTCGACTTCCCATCGAGATGTGTAGGAGCAAATTGAAAGCGTGCTTATTGGTGACCTGCCGTCAGTTTCAAGCCTGTGGCAGGCCTTTTTGGAGTCAAATTCTATTGTTTATATCTTAGACGAACTGTCCACTTGCTAACAGCTATCCTACGAACATTTCTGAGCTCTTGCTGGACGTCGATACCAGTCAAATGACGATTTCGTAGAGAAGTTGACATGAAAAAACGTTTTTCCCTCTGCGATGTGCACCGGCAATGTTCAGAACTTGGTCTCGTGATAAAGCCACCAGTCTCCCGAAAGCGTCTTAAAACTTTCGAAACCCAGGACTGGCTTATGTGGAGCTGACGTGCGACAGCCCGCTGGCTGAGCCCTTCTTGCAATAGTGCAACGATTTGTGCTGCATCTGAAGGTGTAGAATCCCAGGTAAAGTGTCAAAAGAAGCGGAGATGTGTATGGATCAACGTGTGAAAGCAAAAATCCGAAAACACGTGCTTTTATGGGGGGTAAATAGGCCGCAACTCGCGACGTATCAAACAGTTGATACATGTCTTTTTCCTTACTTATTCACATTAGCCGGGATATCTTTTTAAATACTGGTGTGATTTAAATGAATTTGGTATCAATTTAAAGCTAAAGGTTAAATCTTTAAAATGGTGCTACTTTTTTTGTTACTAACAAATTGGTTAGTACACAAGATCGCGTGGAAACAACTTCATGTAAGTGATTCCATACTTTTGCTCGCAAGTGTATTATTAAGCGAAAATAAAGAGCTTATCACTAATAAATAGTGACTGGTAATTTAATACTTGTTATTGTATACCGTGATAAAAATGTTGCTATTGTTATAACACACATGTGAACCGTTTTTTGCATGTTTTAGTCTTTAGGTGGAAAAAGAAACACACTAAAAATTGGCTCAGGGGAATTCAAACCTACAACCCCAGATTGCAGTCCGTTTCGCGAACGACCATGCTATGCAAAGTGGCCGTCCGCCATATTGCCTGCGATTATGTGAAAGTATGACGTAAGTTTTATGAAAATTGAAAATCCTTTTTGAATTATCAGTAAAAAATAATTAAAATAAAATTGAAATAGTAAGACACGGGTCTTAACGCGATTATTATGAGTTACATTATGTACTCACGGCTTGACGTTTCGGCTGCGATGCTGCAGCCGTGGCCACTAGACCCGTGTCTTACTATTTTAATTGAAATGGAACGCGAAAGTTTAAAATGTAATAAAATAAAATTATTTTATTTAACTAAAATACATCATTGCCCAAGACGCGAGATTGATTCGTTTATTCGGCAAGAGCTTTTCGTAAATGTTTCAACACTGAACTCTGCTTTGCACATAGTTTTCAACACTAATGTTTTCTTTGCCCGACTGCAACAAAAAGAGGGTTATGTTTTACACTAGTACTCACATGTGAGTGACACGGCCATCGCGGTCGCACTCTGACTGCGGTTGTGGGTTCCTCCTCGCTTATTATGTCGGCACAACTGCCCCATTATCACACCTCTTAATTGGTGCAGTTGATAAGGGAGACTGCTCATTGCAGTATGAGTGTTTTCGTCTACAATTATTAATTAAAAGCTTGAAATTGTAAAATATTCTTTACATACGAAAGAAGTACCTTACGTACCGGAAAACGTAGCGTGAGACGTCCACCCACAAGGTGGACCGACGACCTGATAAAGATAGTAGGAAGGCGCTGGATGCAGGCCGCTACCAACCGTGCGATGTGGAAATCATTGGGGGAGGCCTATGTTCATGGACGTCCTGTGACTGACATGATGATGATGACGAAGATGAGGAAAGAAGTAGGTATGGAACCCCAACCCGTCTGGCCAGGGTAGGGAGTGTAAGCCAAATCCTCTATTTGCCTCTGGTAAATTGGAGAGGGTCGTGAATCGTGATCCTGCAGTGGAGACTAAATGACCTGATGATTATGATGATGGTGAGGTTTGGAACATGTCATGTGGGTGCGTTAGATGATACCAGACTTAAAGCAGTTATGGTATCTAAGTTAAATTAAGGTATTTGAGTCAATGGTTTAATGTGCATGAAAAGATCTTTAAGATATCGCAAACACCGATTTCTATTGCCACAAGTACCTGTGTTACCAAGATGTGACCCTGAAGTTTGCAGGTTCTATTTAATTTATAGCAGGTAAAGCCTGGTCCGTGAGCACGTAGAATCCCGTCCAATGACCCCAACCGCTCACGGACCAGGCTTTAGACTGTTTCAAGACTGTAGTAGAATCATCCCAAAAGTATATTATTTTATTTTATTACAATCATAGCAGCTTTTGATCACAGTATGTATGAAGTCACTCTATAAACGACGTCACAAATTAGTCACAGGCTTGAACAATAGGCGGCAAAAACTCTGCGATCCACTCCCGCGCATCTTCGGCGGAAGAATCTCGAGTGGCGCTTGTATCTAATATCAAGCAGAGTTGATAAAACACTTTATGCCTTGTAAACATGTTTGTTTAATGTTTAGGCGCGACGAATCAAGAAAATATGCTTTTGACGTTAGTTTAGATGCAAATTAGAACGACAGTATAGCTTGTTTCAATCAAGTACACGTAGGTAAACATCAGATTTTACCTCGAGACCAACCCTTTCCGTCACGAATCTATGTTTCAGATCCCTAACTTGAGAAAACCTTTTACCGACAAAAGGTACTTTTCCATCATCATTTCAAGCATAGGACGTCCACTGCTGAACAGAGGCCTCCCCTAATGATTTCCACAAAGGCCGTTTGGTAGCGGTCTGCATTCTTCTACAGATTCCCATCAATTCGGAAATTTATTAAATCTGGTTTCAAGGGATAGGGGAGACCGAGGAGAGTTGTAACAGAGGAGAGCTGAGTTGAGACATTGACGATTTTTTGGAACTTATTAACTATCAGCGAGCTCGCAATATCACGTATTTGTTAGCTCGAGACTTGAACTAAAAAGCGCGCACTGTTACGAGAAAATGAAATGAAAATGAAATAAATGAGAAAAAAAAACGTTAATGTCTCAACTCTCCTCGGTTACATCTCCCCTCGGTCTCCCCTAGTCATAAAAGTCGTTAGAAGCCACTTTTGATAGACAAATTGTAGTTGGATAGAGTTACTTTTGCATTATTAATGTTACAATTACCACAGCGAATGATGGACATGGAGTAGGTCCTTTATCGATATCTTTGCTTATCTTCTATCTAGTTAGATATTGCTTGTATTAATGACTTCAATAACAGTGTCTCTTCCCCCTTGGACTCTCTCTCTCATAATAATATATTTTGTTTGATATTAATTTTCTTTATTCATACTGAAGTATTTAATTTCTTGTAATTATTAATGATTGCAAGCATCGTAGGATTCGGAAATTAATATCCACGACTAATTGAAATTTATAATAAATTTTTCTCTTATTTTATTACAAGAATAGCTGCAGAACCATTAAGATCTAGTCAAGCTCGCTCTTCACCGCCTAATTAGCATCACAAATTCCCTATTGTTGAACTAACTGTTAATTGTTAAGCTAATAATGATCGGCACGGATGCAGATTAATATGCAAACGAGAACTATGCAGCGAGTAAACGTTGGATTATGCAGGAAGTGGAGATTGGCGACAAAAACACACAGATTCATAAGATAACGGACGTGTTTCATTTAGACACTCGTTATGGTGTACCTACTTAATTTCAAGAAAAGTTCTCGAGTGGCGACCACGGGCTGAAAGACGTAGCGTGGGCAGGCCTCCTACTAGGTGGACCGATGATCTGGTAAAGGTCGCGGGAAGAGCCTGGATGCGGGCAGCGCAGGACCGTGCATTGTGGAAAACCTTGGAGGAGGCCTTTGTCCAGCAGTGGACGTCATTTAGCTGAAACGAACGAACGAACTTAATTTCACGGTCGTTAGCTTACGTGTATAAAGGTTAAGTGTACCTTTTGTTTTTTCATCTGCTTTGCACAGAAAAGTCGAACCTTAACTTCGAAATACTTCTATGTTCTGATTAATTTCGTTGCAGTCCAATGACAGTTTAACTTTCCCCAGTATACTTGACCTTCACTGATTGGGTTTTTATTGGAGGTCAAGCTGTAGATCCTGGCTACACAGGAGTTGCAGCGGTGGGAACGAGAGGTAGGAATAGTCACGTTATTGTCTGTGCAACTTGGTTTCTTTTACTAGGTATTGTAGAGGAGACGATTTGTTAGCTCGAGACATGAACTAAAAAGCGCGCACTGTTACGAGCTCGTTAGTAGTTAATAAGTTCCAAAAAATCGTCAATGTGTTAACTCTCCTCTGTTACAACTCTCCTCGCTCTCCCCTACGAACTACGTTATTAACGAAGCAATAGCATGGAAATGCTTACAAGATGGATAAATCGACTTTCTCGTTCTCCTTCAATTTATCTAACCTTACCCTTACCCATCTATACTTACTTCAGTTTTACTTTACCGAGCAAGTAGAGACGCCTAGACGCCGCGTTTTACTTTGTGCCTTTTGACCATCTACCTGTAAATATCCTGAACTGACATTTCTTGTATTCTAGAAGGCAGGTACTACGTAATCAATTACGTCAGGCAAGTAGGTAGATATTGTCTACTTAATTGTTTACAGCTCATGTTACTTAATAGTACCTCCAATCAATCAGAGACATTCTAGTAACCACTTCTAATTACTGATTGTTGATTACTTTTAATTACTATGTTTACTGACGGTGATAGAGTCGATATCCCTATTCCCTATCTCAATGTCAAGGTGCTTGAAAGTCTGAAGCATAGGTTCTCAAAGTTTGGATAACCATTGTGTAATGTACCGTATTTATGTACCTCAGTGCCAAAACTTTTGTTGTAAAATAAGAATTTAAGACTCAATTCGTGTAGAGTTTGGCATGTTGCGCATTGACATTTTCAATTCAGCGCTCCATTTGTAGGTACTTGTAAATGGTAGTTAGTGTTGTGCCAGTTTCTCGTTAATTCGTTAAACGGTAAACGGGAAAGGTTTTGTTAAGGCATTTTCCGACGCTAATTTAAAAAATGACTTACAAAGATCTGACACAGTAACACCAAACACACCCCCCACTCTTAAAACCAGTGACCTTTAGTGATGCGTGATCTTAGCAATCAAATAGATGAATAATTGGTTCTTTATATTCAACAATAGATGAGCAAAATAATTGAAGGAAAACTGCATTTCCAAATATTACACCTTTATTCGTCAATAAATTACTTAAATCTTAACTTGATCAACTTTTACTTAAAACATAGCAACAATAATACACAATACAATCATCAGAACAGACATAGCAGGGGCTGTAGAAGCGCCTGTTTGACTTGGAGACTCTCTCACGAAGAATGGCAGGGTGTCCAAGGGTGCGGGGTGGCTGTGCAACCAGGTGGGGCCCACGTGGAGCTTAGACGGGTCTCCTTCTTCCAACCACACGCCAGAGGGCAGGTAGATGTCGCGAGATCTGACGCCTTCTTGGAAAACAGGGGCCACTATGATGTCCTCGCCGAGGAGGTATTCTGAAATGGGAATGTTGATGTTATTTTAAATGCAGGAAAGAATCTTCTTTACTTATACAACTACAACTGAGCACAGATCAGTCATTGCACGTGCACATGCTTGAATCACTTTGAACTTCGTTTTCTTTTTTCCCTTTCTCATGTCACTTATTGTTTTGTACTTAAACATACATATTGATGTCCAGTAAATGTGCTCAATTTAGTGGCTTTTTTTCAAAATTCTTCTCATTTGTGAGAACACACAAATGTTAATCAAATTATGTGTAAATCCTACACGCTCCGTAGATTTAGCTCTGATTCATTTACGAAGATCTGAAATTCGATGTGGCTTATCGTTCCTACAATGCGCAATCCATGCAACCTAGTGTCTAGTTATGGGAATGTCTTTCTTTTCCTTACCATCCCAAATGACCAAGGTCTTTTCATCATCCGGGGCGATCCACCACAGCGGCCCATTGACCGGTGTGCCGTGGTTCACTGACGCCTCCATGGCTGCGTAGATATTCTCCGCATATGCCGCGTGAAGGTCCGTGTACTTTTTGCTGATCTCCACCGTCTGTAAGCAATTTGGGCATATTTTAGACTAGACATTAGTAAGGCCATTGTAATAATGAGCCTCATTTTGATTCGTTCGTACGTTCGTTTCAGCCGAAAGACGTCCACTGCTGGACAAAGGCCTCCCCCAAGGATTTTCACAAAGACCGATCCTGCGCCGCTCGCATCCAGGCACCTCCCGCGACCTTCACCAGATTAGTTTTGATTAGGTCACAAAGAAAGACTTTATTGAAAATAGTGGTCACATGAAATTGTGAAAACATGGCTGGTTCAGCTGGTTCTGAACACATTGAAATTGTGAGACAAATAAGTAAATCTATCAGAAAACATTTTCCAAAAGCGGCTTTAATAGGTTTATGTATTTGATATTATCTGTGTAACCAAATTGGATAAAAAGGTGTAACTGACATGTGAACTAGCTTGTAAACGATACT